GGTCGCCAAAGTCCAATGAAGAAGCATTGTCTAAATGGGTAACGATTACAGCAGAAGATGCCAGATTTCTGTGGTGGAAAATTTATCGCTAAATAATTAGTGTTAATTTTTGCAAGAAGAGTTTCAGGACTTTTACATCTGCAACTGAAGTTTGAACAAAGAAGCAGACATTTGCAAGTTTGAGAGCTTTTTTTTATTAATTTACTCTTGTTTCCCGTATTGTTGAGACACTCATTGGAGATTCAGGGGGAGAAGTGACTGGCGCAAAGGCACAAGACGTGCACTTAACTGTTATAATGCACTTGTCTCTTCTGATCTTCTCATTCACCAGTTTCTGTCCTCACGCTCTCATCTCTGTGATTCACATAAATTTATCTACTTCAGATGAATATAGTGCTTGCTTGTTTTGTACTGGAAATGGCACAGATCTCATTGTGCCTGATGCATCTTACACAGAAATCATTTCAGAGTGGCTAAGTTATCTCTAACTTTAATGCAGTTTGCAAGGTCATCGTAGCATCTCCGTGCTCTGAATTGCAGCTGGTGGCTCAGTGTAATCCACAACATCCAAAGATCTCTGGGAAAACTCCCACAGAGAGCAGAAAGGTAGCTTGAGAGCTGCTGCAAACATCTGTTTCTATGTCTTTTTCTTGCTCTCCGGTGTTACCTCACTCCTAACAAAAAAGGGACAGCTGTTAAGATATACGTATAGTCATGTGCCCTATGGGGCTGTTCCTAAATACATGTGCTACGTAAAAGCCTGTTCTTTTATATCAGCTATGAAAAACACTGGGTTTTTAACAGCAAAAACGGGAATTACCTGGCAGGTAGAAGGTCTGTACATGTCTGATATTCACCAAATACTTTCTCAAACCTGGCTCACAGATGGGATTGAAATTGCTATCGTATGCTTTTTGGCACTCTGCACTCCTGCAAAAAGTGGAGGTTTTCAGACAGGCAAAGAATACTTTAAACTATATCATTATATATTGTATAGTCAGCAGGGTGTTCTGCGATTCCTCGCAAATATTGGGAAGTGACAAAGCAATACATAACAAAGTGTACAAGAAGCATCAGGTGGGTCTGAGTCTGTGTTCCAGGAATATTAGGAACTTCTGCTGTCTCGAAATCTGTGGGTTTCTGAGCAACATCAGCTGTGGAAATGGAAGAGAAAGGGCTGATTGCTTATGTGGCTGTGTTGAAGTACATTGAGCACTTCAAGTATTTGTTGCATTGTTTTCTGGTTAGTAAATAGAAGAGAGTGGGTTAGTCAATGTTAGAAGGCAGCAAAGCTAGCGATTTTAACAATACTCCTCTCTTTCAGCTCCCAACGAAGAGATTAAGATGTGACTCTAGCTGAATTAGGACCTTAATGTGCTTTGTGCTCTTTATATTACATCTACTACCTTGCTATAGATAATTCTGAATGTGAATTTATTTTGAGATTGAATTATTGTCCTTGTTTAATGATTAACACAAAATAGAGATTCACGCTTTTATGTCTTTAAATTACTCTATTCCATTTAAAAAGGCATTTTGTGTTCCACAACAGAATGCTTTGACCTCTGCCAAATCAGCATTAGTGAACTAGTTATAATCCCTGTGCATTTGTGATTATCAAAGTGGTTTGGATGGCTTTACTTAGTATTAAATCCTGACATCCTTAAGTACAGAAATCAAACTTGTAATTAAGATTGTATCAATAAAGTTCTCCCATTTCATATATTTTCCAGTAGTCATAATAAACCAGAATTATATGATTCATTGCCTACCTGAAGTATTTGTTCTTTTCAATATTGCCAGGCTACTGATGTGTAAACAGAAATGTAAATATGTGCTTGTGGATGAGTGATTGGGCTTGCACAATAGCACTGAATCATTTGAGCAGGTCTCCTTGCTCTGTACCGTGGACTTAACAAATGCTGCTCAGAAGTGCAGCTCCAGAGCACAGGGAGCTCATTGGGACTCAATGAAGCTTGTGATTTTCTGCTCTAAACATGTTCCATCCTAACCAGCACTGAAAAGTTCACAGGTCCGTTATGAGATATGAACAATATTCAGGTTTATAGTCAGTAAAAGGTGCTTCTTTTCTAATATCCTCTGTAATCGGCTGAGGGAACTAGGTTTTATTTAGTACATGTATGAAAAGAGGAAAAAGGAGAGAGGACTTTTACAGCACTTGAGCTATTGTTTCTGGAAAGTTGTTTCAGGCATTCTTCCAAATAAAAAAGCAGGTTGTTATGCTTATGCAGTTCCAAAAGTTGTTGTATTGTTATATGAGCATTTTACAGCTACAGAATAAAAGCTGGATTCTGCAGCCGATCGCATTTGTATCAGTTCCTGTGTGTTCAGGGAGTCTGTGTGTATTTTCATGTATATGCTGGGGAAAAAGAGAGCATTGGTGTGTGCAGTATTTGTTACAAACATGCTAGTCGCTCCCGTGAGACTGATGCGTTTTTTTTTGGCTGCATCTCTGTACTACCCCATAAAAAGCATCTTTAATTATTACAAATTGTTATTCAAGTGATTTACTGAGTTTGAGTATGCTGCCGCGAGATCTTTTCTGAGATAACTATTTGAGAATTTTTAAGAAAACCCAAGAACAGCCACACAGATCTGCAGAGACGTGCGTGTAACATGCTGTACGCATGAAATATGTAAGGATAATTGCTGCCTAGATTTTATGCAAAGGTGATGGTGTTAACGAGCACCGCAGTTCCTAGGAGAGGGGGCAGCCTGCGGAGAGTCACTTGGGGCAGCAAATTTCCCAGATACAGAAACTGAGATAAACATCCACAAACTTCTGGTGTTTGCGCGTTCCAGAGAAGCTGGACTACTAATTCCAGGGAAGTAGGACTTTCATGCTAATAACGATTATCTTACTCTGATAAGCTCAACAAATATTATAAGGTTTTGGCCACACCTTCCTCCTCTGCTGCTGCAGGTTGTTGTCTGTGCTAACTCCTACATGTTGCCATGAAGAATGTAGATCGCAGGTTCATGCAGTGCCTTCCCAACATTAAAGTTGGGTCAGGTTGCTCGAGGCCATGGGTGGTCAAGCTCTGATCATCTGCAGAGATGGATGGAGATTTGTGGCTTCAGTGGGACATTTCCCCATCATGTGATCACCCTCGTTGTTAAAGAATTAAGATTTTTTTTTAATGCCTGGTGAGAATTTCCTTTGTTGCAACTTGTCTGTAGCCTCCCATCCTTTTGCTGTGCACCTGTGAGAAGAATCTGGCTCTGCCACGTCGGTACTTACTCAGTAGGTAGTTGAAGGCAGGAATGGGACCCCATCATTTGCCTTCTCTTCTTTGGGCTGCATAAGGACAGGTGTCTCAGCTTCTTCTCAGGCATTCAAGACCACTGACCATCTTGATGGTCCTCCACTAGACTTCCTCAAGTTTGTCAATGTCCTCCTTGTGCTGGGAAGCCGAAACTGGGCACAGCACTCTAGCTGTGGTCTGGCAAGCATCAAATAAAGGAGAAAATTGCTTCCTAGATCTGCTGTCTGTGCTTTCTTACTAATGGAGTGCAGTATGCAGCTATCCTTCACCACTCAGGATGATCACCACTTCGAACCTGCCCACCAGGACCCTCAGGTCCTTTTCTGCAGGGCCACTTTCTGTCTGGTCTGTGCCCAGTTTGTGCTTGTGGTTGAGACTAGTCTGCCCAAGTGCAGGACATTGTATTTGACTTTGAGTTTCGGGAGGCTGCTCTCAGCCCATTTTTCCAGCCGGTCGAGACCCCTTGAAGTAGCAGCTGTACCCTCCAGCTTATCAACCATGCTCCTCAGTTTGACATCATTTTGGGGAATGGGATTTTCCCTGTCTCTTCTTTACACATCATCCCTGAAGTTCAGCCAAATCCAGACGGGTAGTCTGGTGAAGAGGAGTAACACGCTCTTAGGCTAAGACATACCTAATTAAAATGCGTTGTCTGTCCTCACCTCATCATAAGCTCAGTGGCAGCTCTAGGTAGGAGGGAAGTATTTTTCCTAATGGGCCAATTCTGTACCATTTCTGCTGCTCCCTGCTCCAGAGACAGGGTGTTGAACTAGTTGCAGCAACAGGCTGTTGTAACATAGCTGCTATTAGAGTGTGCTCCTCTGCATGTTTTTGTTGTTTGGTTTTTTGGGGGGAGTTAATTTAGTATCCATTCAAGGCTAAATCCTAAAATTCTTGCTTTATCTTCACTCTTTAGACAAGCAAATCCTGCTCCTGCATGGTTTAAAAAAGGACGTAATGCTGCAGTATTTTGCTTCAATGTCAAAATGAATCAGAACTTGGAAAACTGTGCCTTCTATTACTTGCATAAATGCACCTACGCAAACACTAGTTTGCATTTTATTTGTTATCTGGTTGCTCAATTTGTAGTGAAATTTTTACGTGAAATCCTTTAGCCCATCTATATACTTTAATAATAAGTGGAAACAGTACGGGTGTCTGGCAGGTTGAGAGGCAGGAAACCTTGAATTTTCAAGACTAATTATATAAGAATGATTCAGTGCATAAGTACTTAAGGGAAAACCCACTACTTAATTTTCCAGCATGAACAAGTGCTTGTTGAAGGAGAAAATGCCTACTGAAAAGGGGAAAACACCATGCCACCTACTGTCACCAGCTAATTGTCAGATTATTTTTTCTTTTTGCCTTCTCTTACCAAGAAATATAATAATTCTGTGAGACCATATGGCAGTGCAGAAAAGAAGTGAGCTGACCACTCCTCCTCTGGAGGAGGAGACCTAGGTAGGGCTGAAGAGGGCTGCTAGAAAGCTGAGGAGGGAGGCACGGAGGAGGGTGGGAGCCCTGCTTAAGGGCTCATTGGCAGAAGAAGGCACAAACAGGACACGTTTCAGCTTGGGTGGTTCTGGGAGGAGCAAATGTTGGGATTAAAATGTCTTGACGAGATTGTTCCTTTTCTTTTCAGATGCAGACAGTGAGTTTCATGGCGTGAATTTTCTGCCCGAAGATCTCAACGAGGCTCCAGAGGAGACAGGAATGAGGGTGAACAAGAAATACTCTTGTCTACCTGCTGAGGAGAAGGGGATCCACATTATCAACATCCGAGCTATTGAGGATATCGGCTATGACCAGCATGAGAGTACAGTGAGTAAAGGACTTGCCAGATGCGTCATAACTGGCAGACTGCGCTTTACCCCTTAGCTTAATTCTCATTCTCTCCATTCCTGGGATGCTCTGAAATCCTCTCCCTCTCTTTTTCAGAAGTGCTGAGGAGGATTGCCACTAGCCACAGTACATGCTAATTTAGTGGGGTTTGTTCTCTGATGTGAAGAAGGGAAGCAAGGGATCCTTGTTTAACCTGTAGCCTCAAAAGGAGTTGGCTATTCTCAGAGTAATCAATCTGGCAATAAGGCTGTGGCAACCTTTAAATCTCTTTGCCCCTATAGAGCAGAACAGAAAAAAATGTCTAAAATTTCATGCGGAAGCTATTAACATAGGTAATGTAAAACTAATAGTCTGCAGCGTGCAATAGAGGTTTGAAAAGGGGAAAACACCATGCCACCTACTGTCACCAGCTAATTGTCAGATTATTTTTTCTTTTTGCCTTCTCTTACCAAGAAATATAATAATTCTGTGAGACCATATGGCAGTGCAGAAAAGAAGTGAGCTGACCACTCCTCCTCTGGAGGAGGAGACCTAGGTAGGGCTGAAGAGGGCTGCTAGAAAGCTGAGGAGGGAGGCACGGAGGAGGGTGGGAGCCCTGCTTAAGGGCTCATTGGCAGAAGAAGGCACAAACAGGACACGTTTCAGCTTGGGTGGTTCTGGGAGGAGCAAATGTTGGGATTAAAATGTCTTGACGAGATTGTTCCTTTTCTTTTCAGATGCAGACAGTGAGTTTCATGGCGTGAATTTTCTGCCCGAAGATCTCAACGAGGCTCCAGAGGAGACAGGAATGAGGGTGAACATGAAATACTCTTGTCTACCTGCTGAGGAGAAGGGGATCCACATTATCAACATCCGAGCTATTGAGGATATCGGCTATGACCAGCATGAGAGTACAGTGAGTAAAGGACTTGCCAGATGCGTCATAACTGGCAGACTGCGCTTTACCCCTTAGCTTAATTCTCATTCTCTCCATTCCTGGGATGCTCTGAAATCCTCTCCCTCTCTTTTTCAGAAGTGCTGAGGAGGATTGCCACTAGCCACAGTACATGCTAATTTAGTGGGGTTTGTTCTCTGATGTGAAGAAGGGAAGCAAGGGATCCTTGTTTAACCTGTAGCCTCAAAAGGAGTTGGCTATTCTCAGAGTAATCAATCTGGCAATAAGGCTGTGGCAACCTTTAAATCTCTTTGCCCCTATAGAGCAGAACAGAAAAAAATGTCTAAAATTTCATGCGGAAGCTATTAACATAGGTAATGTAAAACTAATAGTCTGCAGCGTGCAATAGAGGTTAGATTTCCAGTGTCGTTAATTGTGCCTTGGTTAAATTCTTTAACGCCGATCTTAAAGAAAGTTAGTAATGCGAATACCCAACAGGATTAGGAGTTGCTTATGTCGTAAACACATTAAAAAGAGCTTATTCAGGTGAAGGAATTGAGGTGGAGTGAGCTGTATAACAGATCTCGCTGGGGAAAGGTGTAAAGCAATACTTGATTCATTGTGCTTGTGCTTATGCTTAATTAGGATTGAGCATGGAGGAATAATTCTGTCAGAATGTAAACATCCCTCTTGCTGGGGTAAAACTGAAATGTCTCTTCTGTGTCACATTTGCAGCCAAAGGGACATGACCTTATGTGGTCTAAGTCTACGCAACTCCCTCTATTTCAGCATAGTGGCGCTGCGAGAAAGGGTGTGGCCTATGAGTACCTTTCAGCTTTCATACCACATCCTTAAAAGAATCCAACCTTTTCTTTCTTTGAAACAGGACCAACAGGCTTCTTTGAGTCTTTTGGCTGCATCCCTTTTGCAGTGGAATATAGCTATTCTCATATAAAAATAAATTTACTGAGGCTTTAGTATCCAAAGTGCAGCACCTTCCCCGATATTATCAGTGAGTCCCCACAAGGGTCAACTTTTCCACAGGAGAGTTCAAAGAAATGGGAAAAGGGTTTCGCTGAGTTTCTGCAGTGTGACCTGTACCCTTCCTGGGGGCAGTGGCTCAAAGAAACAGAGGAACCGGAGATTTTCAGTGCCGCTTTTCTTCACCCAAGGCGTGCTCCAGGAGAAGAGGAGCCGTGGCTGGGATGTACTCAACTCTCCTGAGCTCCCCAAGCAGTTGCAAACATCTGGTGCGCTCGCTGCTATCACCTTCCAGAGCCGTCTTCAGTCCTGCCCGTTTCCTTTGTTTATTAGTCTCCAGAACAGACCGGCTAATTGCTGTCCCTCATAAAGTCAGTCCAAGGAGGGTAGGAAGCAGTTGGGGTCTGAGCCTTTTGCCTGTTTTATCTCCCTGTGCTTAGCTGAATGTTTATTGGTTCAGCCCAGTTTTTCAGAAATCGATGTTTAATCAATTAATAAGATCAACACATCTTTAAAAATTACAATTAGTTATCTGGAAAGAAATCCCAGCGTTCCTGTATCTTGTTTACAACAGCTACTTACTTTGAAGAGGCATGATATCCTGAAAATCCAGTTAGTTACTATTTCTTAATGTTTTGTTTCTGTAGAAATTTGCATAACTGAGTTGCCTGCCCCAAGCAGACTGTCAGCTTGCTTTTAAAAAAAATGTTCTGCATTCACAGGTACATACCTTTAAACACGAAGCAAACAGAAAGTGATAGCTATTAATGGTCTTCTGTGTTGTAGTTATGCTTAAGAACCAAATGGGAGTATCTAGATAGGGCACAGGCTGCTCACGCCTGTGCCCTGAAGAATGTGTTATCACCATGGCTAAATAAGAGCAGGAGGAAGAGAGAATAGGACAAGGAGCAGACTCCATGGTGGCAGCAAATGCTGTATTATTGTATGATATATTTATGTATTTGGAGCAAAAGGTTTAGGTTAAATGGAAGAGAGAGATGGGATCTTCAGAGAAGAAAAGAGAGAAACAGCGAAGGCAGGCGTGGAGCAAAGTGGCGAGGGACTGAGGAGATGGGGATCTGCAGCCGCGCTGGCCCTGGCCAGATGTGGTCATGTCAGGCTTTGGAAAGCTCAGGCATCCCCACCTCTGCGCACGGCTGCTCCCCGTGCTGCC